TACCTACATAACGTACGAGTACTAAGTATCTGTCGAAGTAAAATTTAAAATCCTTCGTTTCGGATGGAAAACCCGAGAATCATTCGAATCCAAAATACAAAATACAGCATCAAYGAACATYAAAACCGCGGTCACATCTCAAATGGAAGGTTCCAAGGATACCAACATGGAAAACAAAAACAAAACCAACAACAATAGCATCTGCCGTTGATCTTGCAAGGATCGGATCGAACCGCGAGGCGTTGCTCCCGTGCACGACGGTTTCTGTTCTGTTCTGTTCTGTTCTGTTCTGTTCTGCGCGACATGTCGTACGAAGAGTCCGGCGGCGATGCCCTGATCGCCGCCTGGAAAAAGGAGCAAGAAGAAGTCGCCTCCCTCGTCCGGGTGTACAGAGACGATTCCSTGGACGAAAGGGTGGTGGCCGGGGAACATCCCGGGTTCCGGGTCCTGCTGCCTCTTTTTGGCGAAGACGGCGTGTCCCTGCCCCGCCCGGGGAATCCCGGAACGCCGGAAGCACCCAACAACAACTGCTACTACGGAGGACTCGACGTGAGCTTTTCCAAGCCGGCAACCCACGAGGACGAGCAAGAACACGAGCACGAGGACCAACACCATCCGCTCGCGGTGGCGGTGTATGTGGTCCTCGACGGGCGGACCCTGGAAACGGTGTACCGCGACCATCTTTGGTGCGACCCTTCCTCCGTCCCCTACGTGCCGTCCTTTCTGGCGGCCCGGGAGGCCGGCCCCCTGGTCGACCTGGTGYGGAGRCAGCGGTCGGYCCTGCCGGAAGTCACCCCGGCGGCSCTCCTGGTGGACGGGAACGGGGTCTTCCACCCCCGCCGGGCCGGCCTGGCGTCGGTCGTGGGGGTCCGGACGGGACTCCCGGCGATCGGGGTGGCCAAGTCCCTGCTCTCGCTCCCCCTGCCCCCGCCGGCGAGCGRTGGGGACGGCGATGGAACCGGCAATGGCGGTGGCGACCAGCGCTGGACCCGAGACGGGCTGGACGCCCGCATCGACGGCCTCTTGGCACGGATCCATCGCTTTGCCGAAACGGGGGGCCTCGGCAGCGAAAACAGTGTGGGCCGCAGCGCGAAAGAACGACCCTTTGCTCCCGCRAAAGGTGGCCCAAGGGGATGGATCCTGGCAAACCYATGGCTTRCCGGTTGGAACGACAGCGGCGGCGAGGCCGTTCCGGGCCACCGGCCTTTTTTTCCACGAAGAGAGGTCCTCCGCGATCTTTCCGGCCTCTGCCGAGGCATTGCTTTMCCCCTCGAGGCCGCCGCCACGCACCACGATCGCTGGAGCCGCGAAAGGGCTGGTCCGGGGGAAACGGACGATCCGTTTCGGACCGTCCTCGGGAACGCCGTCGTCGGCCACGGAGGCGGCGGGAGGGCCCGCGGCAGCAACAGTAGGAACAACAGCAACAACAGCGGCAACAGCAACAGAACCACCGTTGCCACCAAGCCCGTTTTCGTCAGCGTCGGCCACGAGCTGTCCCTCGCGGAGGCGACCCGGATCGCTGTCTCGCTGAGCAAATACCGGATTCCCGAGCCGGTCCGGCAGGCCGACCTGTACGGCCGGGAACTGATGCGGCGTGCGAGCCAAGCGGGCAAATGACGAATCGAACCAYCGGCAAGGGAATCGTTGCCACCGACGATCGGCGGCTCGGCTGCGCAGTATCGTACGCATGCAGTTATCGAATGCGAGTGCTTGCAAACAAAGATTCGGTTCTCTGGTCGAAAATCACGTYGTCTCTATTGTTATAGCACTATAAGTCTCCTTCGTCTCTATTTGAAAATGCAGGCAACAGGATTGCGAAACTCATTCTTGTGCGATTGTTTCTTAGATTGTTGTTACGACTGCTGCCTGTTTTCTGTCACCAAAATCCACGCAGTGGGAAACTACTCGCAGACAGGTATGTTGGTAGGATAAAGATGAAAGATCGAATCGATGCCTCAATAGTTGAGGAGCGGAGAATAGCTACAGTACTACTGACTACACGTCGGAATCGGTAGATTGCAATCCTGTTGAAAATGGRTCTGTGCTCGGGGCAACAGAGGCGTCGTTGCTCCATGGGAGAACGGATGGATTTTCGTGACTMCCTTGGAGCATGGTTTGGGTGCACGCCCATTGTCTTCTGACGCGAAATCGGCAGACCCAATCCCGCCGTCTCTGGAARCCACAAGGCAAATGGACCCTGCTGCGGAAAAAAAGAACCGGAGACACGGCACGGAAGCTTCGTGCTCTGCGAGTCCAGTCCTTGGGCGGATCTCTCTCTCRTTCGGCGCATTTGCGTACGGCCAACGCCCGTGCCTCGGTCACGGAAGGTAGGGCCTCCACCGCACGGGGGCCGCGACCCCCAGCTCCCTCGAGAGGGCCTCGGTCCGTTCCTTGTCGACGTCCGGTCGGTCGACGGCCGTCGTTTCCACCTCCATCCCTTCGACCCCCGCCGCGGCCGAGCAAAAGGYGCGGACCCGTTCAAAGGCTTCGTCGTCGCCGCCGCCGGGGGCCCTTCCGACGCACGGGGCCATCAGGTCGGTGTACTGGCCGGCCTCCCAGGTCATCAGCGCCACGCTGACGCKCGAYACGCCGCTGTCCCAGAGCAGCTGCGGGACGGAATCATCACCACGGCGAGCCACCACCAGCCCGTTGGTGGTCAGCCGGATCGCGGGRGGGAAACGACGCGCCGCCTTTGGTTCGGCCGGTGCCTCCGAAAGGGACCGGATCCGMCGGGCCAGTTCGAAAAGGTCTCCGAGCCGCAGGGTGGGCTCCCCCTCTCCGGAAATCACGATCGATTCGATGCTTGCGTCCTCCGGAGATTCCTCCAGTGCCTGCTGGATTTCCCAAACGAGCCGATCGACGGTTGGCTGCCGCTGTGTTGGTTCTTCGCCTGCTGCTGCTACGGGTGGCAACGAAGCGACCGGACCGAGGGGTGGCGGTGGAAGTTTTATTTTCGGAGGCAAGAGCCCTTCCCTTTGGTTCTTCTGCAGCTCGTGGTAGGCTTGCGCGGAGTCGCCGGGGCTGCCTTGCTGCTGCTGCTCTTCGACGCACCGGACCTTGCCGAGAGATGCCACCACGGAAACGGGCAGCACAAAGTTCTCTCCGCGGGTCTGCGGGAGCGTTCGGCTGTTGCACCGGGAGGTCAGCGGGACGTAGAGCGAATTCCCGAGCCGATAGACAAAGGATTGCTGGTCTTGCTGTTGGTCTGGTTGTTGCTGTTGTTGTTGTTGCTGTTGCTGCTTCTGGTGTGCGGTGGGCGCTCCGGGATTGGTGGAAAACGCGAGCACTGCCGAGGCGGTCGTCGCTGTTCCYGTTCCCGCGAGGGCCGAGAGGAGRGGGAGTGCGGCCAGCGTCCGGCAAAGGCTTCGGGTGGCGGCACCGGATCGCACCGGATTGATCCGCATGGTATTGGCTTGGTTTGCCTGCACCGCTTGTTTCTTCCCCACGGGGCGTGCTGCTGCTTGTAATACCTTGTGGACAAGGCGTTGCTTCCTCACAACAACCACTGTAGTGCGATTCCATTCACTGAGCCATTTCGTTGCCCTTGTAGTCAGTGGAAGTCGGCAAAATCATTGTCATGTTCGTCAACCTCATATATAGTACGAAGCAGTAGGAAGGTACCCGGGTACGRTAAAAAGGTATGTAGAAGACTATTTTTTTACTCCTACTAGTACTACTTTTTTGTTGGAAGATTTCATACCACAATAAGAAGACCAAGACTAGTATTCGAACAATCGTAATATCTAAAAGTACCAAAGGTTAGCTTGCAAGAAAGGTTTTTAAGAAGGAAGAGGAGAATTAGTGTATTAAACAGTACTTTTAGAATGAAACAAAACGGCGGCTCGTTTTAGCGGCGCTCCGGAATGGGTGCATTGGACTCCCACAGTTCGTGCAGGTACGCATAGAGCCCGGGGGACACCGCGACGTCGTATCGTTCCGGATTGCTGTACCGGGTGACGGAGCCGGGAAATTCCTCGGAGAGCTGCTGCAGCACGTAGGAGCGGGTTTCGGAYAAGCCGGAACACAACAAGGGGCTTTCGCTCGCCGCCCTTCCGTCGGCAAAGACGAGGCCGTGCAGGGCTTCCACCCTGCCCGGAAATATCCTCGTCCGTTCCTGTGGCCGAAAGGGATTCCGGCAGAGAATCCCGTCGGCGGTTTCGGTCGTTGGTGGATCCTCGTCCTCCAAACACATGTAATCGGCCAGGGGGGTGCGCTTGTCGGGGCCTCCGTACAATCGGTAGACGCGTTTTCGACCGGGAATGGTGACTTTCACCAGTTCCTGGGAGAGCTTGATGCGGGGCTCTTTRTTGCACTCCACTGCAGRCCATAGACATYGATGATGGTGTTGCAGGTTTGTGTGGTGGACCGACAAGGAAAAAGAAATTGCAAGAAAGAGACAATCAAAGAAATCAGCTATTTGAGAGGATGGATTCGGTTCGTAGCAGAGGGGATGGATGTATCCRGATCAAATCCAACACCAATCCAACCAAACAGAATGCAATGGTGCTGCGTTTCTTTGCTGCTCACCCATTTTGTAAACGCAACCGAGGGCCGGCTGGGCCTGGCAGGTCACCAGGTTGGTACCGATCCCATACGCCGTCAATCCGTTCGTTTTTGTGTTCTCAAACTCCGCCAGGCTTTCCTCGTTGATGTCGTTGCTCGCCACGATGGTGAGGTTGCCAAAGACCGRTGCCCGCGAYGGTTCCCTCGCGGCGACCCCTTCGAAGGCGGTCTTGCAGGCCAGCGAGAGGCTGCACAGATCCCCCGAATCCAGCCGCACGCCCTTTGCCGCGTATCCAAAGTCGTCGAGGGCCCTGGCCACGAACACAAAGTTTGGCAGGCCGCTCGACAGCGTGTCGTAGGTATCGATGAGGCACAGGCACGAATCGGGAAAGGCACAGGCGTACGCACAGAACGCCGCGAGCTCGCTGTCGTTGGTGGAAGCCTTCGCGTCCGAGCGGTACTCGAGGGCTTTGTCCAAGAAGACTTCCTCTCGCTGCAGTGATTTGTGGAACAGCTTGAGCCCCGCAGCGTCTTCCAGCGAGGTAAAGGATTGGATGAACGAATCTAAAGACAAAACGGGGAAAGCAAAGAGCAAGCGAGATCAAATGAGTGGAACCACTGTTATCATGCAGTAGCGTCGCATCCCAGCACGGTGATTTGCATTGCGCACATGGCACCGCTTCGCTTCGCATTGCATCGCATCGCGTCGAATTACGTACGGGCGTGCGTCCCCGAGATCGGAATCCCAAAGGTCTTTCCCGCCTGGACGTTGGAGGTCGCCACGAATCCTCCCRAATAGCTGTACTTGCTCGCCGAGCAGGCCCCGTCCGGACCCTGGGCCCGCCTCAGACCAAACTCGATGCAGGGTTTCCCGCCGGCCCGCAGGACCATCCGCGAGGCGTTGGTAGCGATCAGGGACGGGTAGTTGACCAGGTTCAGCAGCGCCGTTTCCAGCAGGTGGCCGAGTGCCAGCGGTCCCTCGACGATGAGGAGGGGACACCTGGGGAAGACGACGGTTCCCTCCCTGACCGAGTGGACCCTCAGCGACGGCAGGCTGGTCTTGTGGATGTTTGCGAGATAGTCGAAGAATTCGGGTTCCGCCCGAGAAAGGGCGGGGGTTGACTTGAGGTACCGGATGTCGCTCTCGGAAAACCGAAAGGTTTGCAGGAGTTTGAGGCATTCGTCGAGGCCGCAAAAGACCGTGTATTCGCCCCGGAAAGGATTCTTGCGGAAAAACAGTTCGAAGACGACAGGTTCGTCGGCCTTTCCGATCCTCCAGTGTGCGTACGTCATCGTGATCTGATAGAGATCCGTCAAGAGTGCTCGGACGAGGTTGTTTGTAGGATGCATGCTGCTGCTTGTTTCGTTGTCGTCCTTGCYGCTATTCGTCGTCGACATTGTGCTTGTATCGYGACGAAACGTTGTTTCTTCTTTTTCGTTGTACACTAATTGATTTGTCTGCTTCTTGATTGTTTCAGGTTCGTATTAGTTTTTCTTTTGTGGTATTGCTTGTTTACAGTATGGTACTGTAACTGGTTCGTATCGCATGTTTGGACGCCGGAGACTACGAATACTTATGGWGGGTGTTGAATGCGAATCGTCGTCTCTGTTTCGGGTCCCGATATGAGAGTATCTTTGAATCCTGCACAAAAGGGCAGAAACACTGGAGTAGAGCTACTTCTACTAAGTACCGGTACGGGCCCCGTTGTGTAATGGCAAGTTATTGGCAATCCCCGTACAAATACTAATAGAAATTTTTTACTCATTTTTACAATTAAAACCAGTTAAAAAGGCATCCAATGGACGAAAATAAAAATATTTCCATTGTTTAATTTCTCGCTAGTCCCAAAATATTTCTATTAATGGTCCTTATAATATTCGAGATAAGCACTGATTTGATATTCCTAGTAGTAAGGACCAGGAGTGTCAATGTGGAAGTGATAATCGAAGCTAAACCTAGACGACGACTGAGGCCACGATGGAGGTCATTTTCCAGATAAACTGTTTTAAAACAATTGGTATTTTCGCACATTTTTGGCCTGTCAATCTATCAAAAATAGACTGTTCAGATTCAAACGGCTAAACGGTTGTTGTTGCTGCTGCTGTTGTTGCCGTTGTTGTTGCCGTTGGTGTCACGGGTTGCGTCTGAGTTATGTTCTTRTTGATGCGTTTGATGTTGGGTGTTGTGTCTGGGTTTGTATGTTCTTGCTGATTTCTTCCAATGCATACGGGTGGTTGTGGCTATTGTAGAGGGATGGGTTGTGATTCCTGTTGGTATCAGACAATATCAGACACGAAAACATTGTTTTCMTCCTGTACTAATTTATCTACTCAATACGTCCAAAATTTCTAACTATTTTGAGACTTCGTACTTAAGTAGATAGAACTTCAAATTCCGTGCTACAAAGTCTACAACATTCTACAGAGCTATTTTGTGAAATAGTAGTAATAAAGGAAYGACAATGGCTGGATTCATACATGAGCTAGCGACCATAGTTTTGTTGTGAAACGAATAGCTACCAACAAATMAAGCCATTYGGTGAGCCTGCGTTGTCGACACTGGTTCCGTGATTTTTGGACGTTCGAGGCGATACTGTATTCTGGCACTCGCGACGACACGCCACCACGGGAACAGCAGGTTTTATCGCTTTTTTTTCCGGTGTCGGCTGGCTCTTCCAAATACGTACTTTTCGCTCGTSCTTCTGYTTCGTTGTCGCCATCGCGTGGTTCCGATCGATCCGTCGTTGGCTACGCGAATATCGCACGTTCGTTTCGGTCTTCTCGGTACGAGTCTTCCAGCGGCGTGCCCGCAAAGACCTCGATGGCCTTGTCGTAGAGCCTCCGCAGGAAAGCCCGCTGCTTGGCCGAGGTGTTGGCGCTTTCCTTCTTTGCGSTCGCGGCCTCCTTCTCYCCCTCTTCCAGCGCGAGGCACCGGTCCACAAAGCCCTTGACCGGCTCGGCGTGTTCGGCRCCGAGCGAAAGGGCGGCGTTGGACCGAAAGAGGACCGCCTCGTAGATCTTCCGGGCCCCCTTTATCCCGGAGCGGTCGTAGAACCGGTCCAGGCACAGCCGGCAGGCCGAAAAGACGTCCGTGACCTCAAAGTCCAGGCCGGTGCTGCCGGGCTCGACGATTGCGTCTCCCTTGGTCTTGGGAGACAGCAGCAGGAGCTTCTGGAGGGTCCCGAACAGCGCGGAAGCCTGATTTTCCCACTGCTCGCTGTCGTTTTCGCTGTCGCTGTCGCTATCGCTGCCGTCTTCGCTGGCGCTTCCAACACCGGCCGTCTCGAGGCTCGCGCCGAGAAATTGCAGGAGGGCCACCACGTAGTCCGGGTGCTCGTCCATCGGTATCCGCCCCAGCGCCCGCTCCAGGATGCTSGTCTGTGTRCGGAGCGAGTCCGRAGAAAGGCTGGCCCACAGGAGCCAGGCCTCGACCGGGGCCGCGGCSCCSACACGGTTTTCGCTCCTGGCGGAGGGCTTGGTCTCGGTGCAATAGGTTCGGATCGTCCGCAGGGCCTCCTTCTCCCGGCCCCTTTCGAGGAGGTACCGGGTCTCTTCCATTGCCAGCTCCGCCGACGACGCTTTGTAGGACCGCTTCTCCCGGGCTTTCTTCCATATCCCGTCGACGAAGCGATCGACCTCCTCGAGAGAATCCTCGCCCGCGGTGCCGCTGTGCTCCAGCTCCATCCGGTAGTCCCCGGAGAATCGAAAGGCCTGGAGAAGCATYTCGTCCGTTCCCAGCGTCTCGGTGGCCTCCCTGAGCACCGCGAGCACCGGATCGGAAGCTGCTGCGTCGCCCGCGGGGGATGCTTCCCCGGTCTTTCGGGCCCGCTTCGCCGTCGGCTCGCTGGTCCCGTCGGCATTGCTGCGCTCCTGCTCCGCCCKGTAGACGGCGCGGGCGATCCAGGATTCCGGTTCTTCCGCAAAATCCCTGGCCATGCTGTCCCGAACGAACTCCATTAGATCGGAGGTACCAGGGAACTCCCTGCAGGCATCGAGGAACTTGAGCCGAAACCTGACGGATCCCGGGATCGATCGAATGGCGTTTCGCAGGACGATCCTGGCAATCTTGTTGTAGTCCGTGCCATCGTCGTCGTCGTCGTTGTCGTCGTTGTCGTCATTGTCGTTGCTGCCGCCCACCGGGTTGAGAATCGTTCTCCTCCCCCGAAGAGTCTGGGCGTAGTGCAGCTCCAGCGTAAAGTACTGGACCCACAGGTCCTCGCTGGTCTCCCCGTTGAGCCGCAGGGCCCGCTGCAGGAGGACCCGGGCGCTCTTGACGCTCCGGTTGGGCCCGAAAAACTCGTTCGAGGCCGCCTCGATCCAGATCCCGGCCTCCCGGGGAAAGACCTGGAGGGCCTCGGCGTAGACCCGGGAGAGGCGGGTCCACGACTTGACCGTCTTGCAGAACTCCGCGTGYTGCAGGTGCAGGGAGAGGTCGCCCCGGAACTTGCGGATGGCCCTCACGAAGAGCAGGTGGATGTGCTGGACGATGTGGGCGTCGCCGATGTGGTCCTGCTTCTTTCCGTCCTTGCTCTTGTTCTCGGTTTCGTTTTCGTTTTCGTTTTCGTCGTCTCCGAGCCCCTTTTCCCGCTGGGCCCTGCGGTGGTCCTTTTTCCGGATGCTGGTCCGGAGGCCTCTCAGCTTCTCCAGGAGCATCTCCGCCTCGATGTACCGCACAAAGTCCGCTTTTCGGGCCGCCCTTCTCCGCAGCAGGTACTCGGACTCGCGCCGCCGGTTCACGATGGCCCGGATCTCCTCCTCGGTGARGATGTGCCGGTCCATCAGGTCCCGGAGGGGTTCGACCATCTGGTCGAGGGCGGCCTGAACTTGCTCCGCCATGGTTGCTTSTTKTTGTTGTTGCTAGGGTTGTTGCTAGGAGAGTTGGTTGTGGTGTGTGGTGCGGGTTGTTGTGTTGTGGTTTGTCGTTGTTTGTAGTAGTTGCTGCTGTTGCTGTTGCTGTGTAACGGCTTGCTAGCTCCGAGGGATTGGTTGTTCTCGGTTTTGTTTTGTTTTGATTCGTTTCACCGATTGTCCACTTTCGTTGATTTRGTGGCGGTTTTCGATTCCGTGCCATTGCGTAGAACATTACGTTTGAGGAGTACTCATACTTTTCGTTGCCCTCTACGCTACGGAACGATACGGTACTCACGGTAGACGGTGGACGGACGAGTAYCCGTACTCGTACTAGTTGTCGTATCGACTGTGATAGCACACCACGATACATCACAGAGCAAAAAAGCATTATTTTCTACGATACTCGTGAAGGCCATAGTATCGCAGTTCGTGAAAAGCAGAAACAGAAAGAAATCACATTTTGTTGGTCCAGAACCCAATGACGTTTGACGGACAGACTGGATTGCTATTTTTTTATTTCAAATTTTAAATCTTGGCCCCTAGCAAACTAGGACAGTACCGTACGTACCGTACATACGGTACCTACGACTTGATACATTGCGAGTCCGAGTTTTTGGTTTTTGTACCTKTGGTACGTAGTGCTGGTACGTACTCCTACTCTCATTTCTGCAGTGTKATGGCTGGATGGATTCTTCTTCATTAGTGTTTTTCGATCTCGCCCGGTCCAATGCTGCTTATGGCAATTGCAGCGTTTCGGCACAACCATTCCATTGTTGCTTTGGCGGTATCCGCTTTGCGATCGGGATTCCAGCGGTAACCCAAGCAGGAGCAGGCACCCCGGTGTCGTTGCCGTGCCCAGCCGCAAACCCTTTCGTTGCGGACTCGTGTTGCATCGCATCGCGTCGCGTCGCATCCCACTGCGCAGACCCGCWGCATCCGGAAGGGCTTCCGGACCCCGGGGCTCSTTCCGGGCAATCGGAGACTCCGTCCCCCGCCTCGGCCGGTGCGATGCRATGCAATGCGATGGCGTCTAGTAGTCGTTGGTGCTCGGTGGCGTCGTCGCGATCTCTTCTTCCCGTGGCTGCCCTTCGTTGCCGAAGGCCTCGGTGCCCCTCYCCCCGTTCCCTCCCCCCCCGCGGCCTGCCRYGGCGTGCCCGTGCGGTTTCGCCCGCGCCTGCGCGTGTGGCCCCTCCCCGTCGCACCCGCAGCACACGGGGGGAGCCCGCCGGATCTGCGCGGCCCGGAGCAGCCCCTCMAGCGCCGAGCGGGTCCGGGACGCCACGGCCCGGAGGACGGCCATCGCCCACCGCGCGGTCCGGACCGCGAGGCCGTCCCCACAATGCGGCAAAAACGAACGCGRAMASGACCGMGRCCCCCYKGCCATTGCGCCGCCGGTGGCCCCTTTCCGCGGCCTCCGGCGCAGGAAGACGACGTCCTCGTCGGTGCCCTTGGACCTCCAGGCCGCCTCCAGCCGGAGGGGTGTTACAAACACAAAGCCGCCGTCTTCGGTGTCTTGTCCGGCGGAGCTGCCGCTGGCGGTGCTGGTTTGCGACGATGGATCCGGGTTGCACAAGACGTAGCAAAAGTCGTGGCKAAKGTCGCCATTGCCATTGCCATCGCAATCTCTGTCCCAGGAATTTCCACGGCGGTTGGCCATGCCCACGTGGCGTGGATCGTGGCTGATGCCGCACAGAACGACATARTGGCCGGAGTATCCCCGGCGTTCGTCGCGGTCGGAGCCGCCGGCATCCTCCCCGGAACGCGCTGCGGTTCCTTCGCGCTTGGTGGCCCCCAACAGGTACCGGTTGTCCAGCAAGAGAATGGCGATGCAATCCTCTCGCCGGACCAGCTCGGTCACCGTGTCCATGGACAGTCCACSGCCGCCGGCACGGCTATTTTTGGCGGTTTGCACCATCGGGACGCCCCCGCGGTGCAGGTCCCGAAAGGTGCGGGCGACGCGGGCCTGGTCCTCGTCAAAGGCACCCCTGTAGTACCCAAAGTCTCGATAGGCTTCGTCGGCGTCCATCAGTTGCCGGGAGGCCAGGACAAAGTCAAAGTCGAACCGGAATTTCGCGCCGAGCGAGCAACCGCCACCCTCGGACCCGGCCAGGCGCTGGCCACGGTCCACCGTTGGCGACCGCGGTTTCGATCGCGCTTGGTTTTGCTGCCCGGTGGGATCGGGAGGTGGCTCGTCGTCGCGAATCGCATCCGTCCCGGCCACGTTGCGATCGAATTCGTCGCCGGCCACCGAGGATCCGGTGGCCGTTCGGCCGAACCGGTCTCCGCAGAATTTTTGGCTCTTGCGGTGGAAGCTTTCCTCTCGCACCGCTTCCTTCCACAGGTGCAGCTGCCAGACCAGGTCCGACGTCCATATGGATTGGGTCCCGATGCTGGTCAGGAGCCGGCTGCGTTTTGCCTCCATCGCGTTTTCGTTTTCGTTTTCGCAGTCGCTCTTGTCGCAGTGGCAGCGGGAATCGCCGCCACTGCTTCCTTCGCAAGTGGTTCCGTCTCCGAGCCAGTGGGCCACCATGAGCAAGCAGGCCACGCCGCAGTCCCAGGTGTCCGATTGCGGGATCCTCGCCACCTTTGTAAAGCTGTTCTCGTCGGAGTTCCAAGAGCCGGAGCCAATACCGTCCTCGCCGTCGCYGTTGGCAATCGACAAGGAACGGGCCAGACAGTCGAGATCTTCTTCCCGGCTTGCGGAGCCGTCCTCCCCGCGCCGGGTTCCCTCGTTCTCCATGGTTTGTGTGGTTTCTTATCGCCCCTTMTCTGGATCGGCAGGTCGTGGGGTAGAGCACTGGATTGTTTTCCTCATTCTTCCGACCGGCGCACTGCTGGATCCATTGCTATCTGAGCTGCCTTTCGTTGCTGTACCGTAGTGCGGTGTGTGATTCCAGATGATTGTAGTTGATCTCTTGTGGCGATGCCATGCTACCGGTATGCTATCCGATGGGATTCGACCCGTTGTGACCTGGCTGGTACCGTACGGTAATGAGTTCCTGTACGAAATCTCGTACTACGTTTACGGKGGAACCCCGAAAACAAACAAATTTTGAAACCTTCCTTGAGCTATCCTTCGCGGGACTTCCGGAACCTCACCGTTCATACTCCTTCTACCGTACGTATTTACGAAGTACTCGTACTTACTTCGTGAGACTTAATCACGAATACGAGTACGAGTACTACCCGTATGGTACGGTACTCCTTCGAAACGGTTTATGTTCTTCTTCGTATTCATACTGCAAACCTAACAACTGAAGTAAATCACTGAAGTATCAATAGATCCATATTCTGGGGTAGTAGGAAGTAGTACCAGTACCATTGCGCTAAGAATACCAAACTACAAAGTCTTCAAAGTGTAGAAGAAATAGGCTGAAAAGAAGAGTTGAATTTCGGCAACGGGTACCGGGAATGCACCCGAAAAAATATGCCGGGGGGGGCTACCAGTATTTGGTGTGTACAGCATGGTCATATTGGGACTCCAGCGGAGACAAGTTCTGACACCATGGAATTCAAAAAGRGCTGCACAATGATGGCGTAGTCGTGATAGGGGCACAGAGTGTTTTCGTACCCACTTGATTATGCTTGTTGACATTGGACAAACGAGCCCAGCTTGTTGATTCGATACTAAAATGTACGAAGCCTTCAAAGAAAGTTAATCCTATTGACTAGATAAATTAATGAAGAATGAGAACATGTCAAATGTCAGTAAATACCCATTCTTGTGACCGTGATCTCATTCTTCCACCHATTGCCAAATTATTGACAAATGTGGCCATGTTGGCCTTCACAATTGTTCGTCAACACAGCATTCTTGTTTGAGACGCATGTTTTAACGWGGAGTTTTCTGGACTGCGTCGGACTTCGACGGAGTGGGTTCGGTCAATTTTCGAGAGAGCTAAGACCTCGCCGTACGGTGCGTGGTGACGTTGCACCCTTCGGCTGGCTCCCCAGGGTTTTCGACACGCCCGAGTCCCGACGAAATCTTTGGGCATCAACTGGCTTGGAGTCACCCTCTCCCTTGCTCGTTCCACCCCTCGCCGCCGATCCCGTTTCGCTGCTGCTTCAAGTGCACGGAGTTGGAGGCCATCTGGATGCTGAGGGTCCTCGCCGTGGCTCCCCAATGTGGCTTCAAATCCCCGACGAGTCGTTCCTCCCCAAAGCTCCGGTTCCCGTCGAGGACGACCCCTCCAAAGTCGGAGAGGTCCATGTGCTCGGGACGGTTCGACTCAAACCACCGGCGGGCGACGGACTGCAACTTCACCGTCTCGGCCCCGAGATCCTTCTCACCAGCAACGGGGCCGTGGGTCTTCCAGACGACGAAGAGCTCCGGCCCGGAGAGCCTCTCTAGTGCGTCCAGGGCTTCCGTCAGGACGGAACTGCTGGTCAACCCCTCGATCCTGCAGTCCCAAGCCCGGGTGACTTCCCATATTCCCATGGAAATGATCAGGACGCTGTAGTTGCTCTCGATCGTATGGACGATATCGTCTTGCCGCAGCATCCATGGGATACCCTGAAAACAAACATGGGCGGAAAAGTCGAATTTCCCAATCCCGTAGCGGGAGACGCCCGAGGAATTCCCGGTGGTGCCGGAGGCGATCTCTGGGGGGTTGGGGTCGCAACCTGCATCGGTTCCCGGTACCTGTCCCATGTCTTGAAATTCCAGCCCACCGGTGCACGGGAATTTGCAGCCGGTGCCGACCGGGGGTTGGCGGGCGGGGCAGTGGAAGGTCTCGTTTTTTGAGTATTTGTATTTATTTATGTTGCGCATCACCGCAAAGTTCCCGACGTTGTCCGGGTCCGGGGCGCTCAGAATGCTGTTCATGGTTTGATAGTCCTGTCGGGCGGTAGAGTCCCCAAGCCAGAGCGTGTTTTCGGCCCGAAACAAGCGGCGGAGGTCGCTCCCTCGAAAGTAGGGAACCCCCGGGGGGGGGATCCAGTTTTCGCCGATCCATCGGTACGCGGTCGTGGAGTTTGTCGTGCGATAGGCGTGGTGGTGTTGCTGTCCCCGCGTGATCTGCAGAACTCCGTCCGTGGCGTTCCCGGTGGAATTCGTTTGGTGACCGGTTTCCGGAACGAAGTTCGTCGAGAAATCGAAATCCAGGAAAAGCATGAATGCGGCTAGGACGAGAAGAGAGGAAAGGTGCGTCTTTGATACCGATAAGTTAGGCGCACGGAATGTGCCTCGAACTTCCGTCGTTTTCCTTCGCAAACTCATCGTTTGTGCAGAGGCGTCCGGTTCAATCCGATTCGATTAGATTCGAGTGTCACCGATGGAAATAACACTGCTGAAAGAATTTGTTCTGCAAGGGAAACTCCATCCACGGCACCGCAACGAGAGGCCTTTAGCGATGGGTGCGATGGAATCCAATGTCTTATTGCCCAATATTCTTCTTGCGTTCTTTCTCCTTACGTATTGACTGATTGATACTTCCTGTACTTGTGGACACAGTCGAGTCGAATACTCGTACTACTACGTTCATCACCAGGGGTCATTAATTTGTGAGAAGACCCTAGTTCACAACCTACGATACTCGTACTCGGGATTAATAGAGCAACTATCGCGCGCATGCGAACACTGAGAATATATATATAGAATCTGGTGGCCTGTAATGAACCAATAGCCCTACTTGAGCTATTTAAAATTAGTGACGTCGGTTTTCATTGTTTCGTACGTAGCACGAAGTACTAAGTAATAATTCAATTCTATATTTATTCTCTACTTATTCCCATTTTATTCCCGATTTATTCTCGGTATATTTTCGTTGTGTTGGCCGAGAATTAAAAAGTGAATAAATAATACGAAGTACTTCATTTAAAGACAAAACAAAAAAAACAGGAATTGATCGGAATAGATCGAGATTCTCGATCTATTCTCGGCCCATATTTTTTAATCATCTATTGTTTAGACGTCATCATGACATAGAATCAGCCAATCAAAATTGGTAATGGAAGATCACATGAGTCAGTTATTCAAGGTGCGCGCATGGGCGCAATAGTTGCTCTATTTCCTACTGCTCCCGTAACTTAAGGCAGGGCAGCCGTATGGTACCATAGTATCGAACGGTTCGGTACGTACTACTCGTACACGTTACGAAGCAGGGGTCATAGACCCCTGTTACGAAGTACTTACAGTGGAGTACCATTCTTTGTACTAAGGTACGTTCGTACCTGAAAACAGGGGTCACGAGGCGCGTTGCGCTCCCTTCTAAATTACAGTACTAGGYCTTCCGTTTGGGGTGCGTTGCAAGTGCAAGTCGAATTTTTGTTTCCAGCATTCCATTTTGAACTCCACATTTTCAGAAGAGAAAAAAAAAACACGTACTTCACTCACCCCGCTGTATTGATCCATCCTCCGCATTGGGCTTCATTACAGCGACCATCACCCATAGTTAAGAGTCACCGCCGTTCGATTAGAGTGCCGCGCCGTGCATTAACTTGTTTCCAACGAGTCAATTCWATTCAGTCTACGTCCGTTCGATTCAGTTTCGCTTGCCACACAACAACCATGTTCTCGAGCCGAGGAATATCGTCCGCAGCAGCACGACTGCTGGCAAGCCAGAGGGGCCGCCGCCTCTTGAGCAGCGGCACCAACTACAACGGAGGCAAAACATGGAAGGTGTACCTGTCGGGAGAAATCCACAGCGACTGGCGGGAGGTCATCGCKGAGGGWCTCGCCGAGAAAGACCTCCCGGTGGTCCTCTCGGCTCCCAACACGAGCCAYGAAGACAGCGACGACTGCGGCGCGATGATCCTCGGCATGGAGGAGGAGCGGCCCAACTGGGACCACATTGGCGCCTCCATGAACGCCATCCGGACTCAGACCCTCCTCAAGGAAGCCGACGTGGTGGTGGTGAGGTTCGGCGAGAAGTACCGGCAGTGGAACGCCGCCTTTGACGCTGGGTTCGCGTCGGCCCTTGGCAAACCCGTGGTGACCATCCAYCCGCCGGCCATCTCGCACATGCTCAAGGAGGTCAACGCCAGCGCCAAGGCGGTCTGCGAGGATCCCCAGCAGGTGGTGGAAACGCTGGCCTACGTGATCCGGGGAGACCTCCCCTCGACACCGCGRGACGGGGACAAGTGGATCCCGATCGCCGACCGGCTGGGCAAGGGGAATCCAAATCCATAGGCGCTGCAATGAATATAACAAGCAGAGCTTGACTACGTCTGATTGGTTGAGAGCAACCCAATCAAAAAGCGAGAAAAGATAACTGGGAGCACCAGCATCAACAGAACCCCCTTACCCATCAGTTCGCAGTGCTCACTACTGTAACATGCCACCACTAGTAAGCACTAATAAAGGTTATCCAGCAGTAAGCACTGGTGCAAACTCAAACGATAGCAGCACTGAAAATACCTTTCCAGTAGTAAAAAGGATCACTAAAAGAAATATTAAGGGTCGAGTTTAGTGCGCGAAGGGTGGGGAGGGGGAATAAAGACGAATGGAGACAGGAATGTGGGAAAAAAAATCGTTGGTCAAAAGTCCATCTATTTAGTCGATTTGCTTAGATCACGGAAGCTATGCTATGCTATTACTTCCGTATGTATGTACCATACTATTGCACCATACCTACTAACGTACTATGCAAAACGAGCGAGGTACAGACCTTGTTGTGAGTAGAACGTTCTTCAAAAAGTGCCTTCGTACCGGTAGCAGCTTTTTTCGGGAAAATGCTCGCAAGAAACGATTCATTCCCAATGAAATCGAACGAGAACCATCGACACGACTATCACGACTATCACCCCCCGAAACCATCTTCGATAGCACCAACTCACAAAGAACGTAGYTTGTTGGTGGAGTCCCGGCTCCATGGCATACCGCAACAAGTACTGTAAGACCGAGAGAAAGCAGTCCTTTCCGTACATAAATGCGAGCATCCATCCTTCGATTATCGCCATCGCCGCCATCTAGATTTTTCTCTGTGCCCTCTTCCCCGTCCACCTTTTCCTTCCCACCGTCTAAAACAGCAASGAATCGRCTGGAGTCTATCCAAACAAAGCGGTTCCTAACACTGGGACGAAACTCATCTCGTATATTCCGATCGAAGATGACGATGGACGGAAGCAGCAGCGGCGKCGGCACCGCCAGAACCCGTTCGGCKCGGRACGACGCGGCCCGTTCGGACCCCCCGGCGATCGCCGACATCGAAGACTTTCACGCCCTGCACGACGAAGCAATGCGAAAGGCGGAGAGCACCTACATCGACCCCTCCACGGGATTTATGGTGTTCACGGAACTCACGCACCTGAAGCGGGGCAAGTGCTGCGGGAACCGCTGCCGGCACTGCCCGTACGGCTTCGAAAAGGTCCGGCGGCCCGCTGCGAGGGGCTCGTGGAGGAGGAGGCGGGCGGCMGTGGGGAGCGACCCCGCTTSTGCTTCCGCCGYTTCGGTCGAACCGATTCTCGAACCGATACCGGGGGCACCCGTGGCCAAGCTGCGCTCGGGGGACAGGGAGAAGGCGCAAAACATGGTGAGGGAGATTCTCGAGCGGGCCGGGAAATGGAATCCCGGCGAAGACGGGGAGGAAAGCACCAGGGGATCGAGCAACGCGGTTGTCGACAGCGACGATGACTCCTCTTCTGCCTCGGAATCGTCGTCCTCTTCCTGCTCGTCGTCCTCGTCCTCGTCTTGTTCCTCTACAGAAAGCGCAGCCCCGGTCACGACTGCCGTGRTCGAGGCTGCCAAGGACACCCCCGATTCTTCCACATCGACGAGCACGTCTGCAACCGCATCTCTGAACAGCAGTGCCGAAAGCGACGGCGCTCCGGACGGCAACCGCCCGAACCCCCACGCAACAACAAACGCGCGAACCCATGCACCCGCAACGACGACGACGAAAAACGTCCCCTATACGCGGGGCGGCGACCAGGGCACGTCCCAGCTGGGAACGGGCGAGCGACGATCCAAAACCGACGACGCCTTCGAGGCGATGGGATCGGTCGACGAGCTCTGTAGCTTTGTGGGCGTAGCCCATTCGCACCTCCTCAACCACAGAACCACGAGGATCCGCAGGGACACCGGGGTGTCGTACGGGGAATTGCCGGTCCGGTTGCTGGACGTGATGAGCCGGCTCTTTGACGTCGGCAGCCACATTGCGAAACCGCAGCCGGCAAAGGAATCCTGCAGCSACCACGCCGAACGGAAGCCGTCGGCCGTCTTTGTCCCCAACGGAATCGGCGACGGCTTTGATCCCAACCACGTCGACGACCTGGAAGACTGGATCAACGAAATGACGGAGGACCTCCCCGAGCTGACCTCCTTCATCCTGCCCACCGGGGCACCGGCCTCGGCGGCCCTGCACGTGGCCCGCACCGTGTGCCGCCGTGCCGAGCGCCGGGTGGTTCCCATCGTGACCGCCGGGACCTGCGATCCGAACGCCCTGAGGTACCTCAACCGCCTGTCGGATTTCTTCTTTGTGTCCGCGCGGTGGGTCAACTTYCGGGAGGGCCAGGAAGAGATCGAGTACCGGCTGGACCTGTACGACGGCGAAAGCGGGGACGGCGACAGCGACGGCGATGCGGGCGGCRTCCCGCKGCGTTCCGGCAGGACGGCCGCCTCTCACGACCAGCGCGGACGGGTCCATCGCTCCCTGAACTAGGCAACACCACCGAGATGTACAACAGCAGCAGCAGCAACAACAGCAGCAACAACAACAACAATAACAACAGCAATAGAACATTTGGAGGAATGACACGTATTCTTTCTATAAACTACTCTTTTTTAGAAAGCATGTTGATTTCTAGAGTAGTAGTAATATCTACTGTAATTATCAGCGTTTGAACATGATGGTATCGATGATGCCTCGATTCATCTTTTGGTTGAGCTTCTTTCCCCTGACATTCCAAGTTCAGAACGCGCGCCGCAGCAGCTTCGTCATCGACCACCGTGATAGCTTTGTAGCTGTATGGGGTGGTTCGATAAACAAGCGAAGACGGCTTGAGGGTCTCGTAGCGAGCAACAGACTCGTACTGTCTGCTTTGCCGGCGGCTTGCGTTTAGAAATACTTGGTACAGTACTTAAATCGCTCACACGGCTTGACACAGCGGTGAAAGAGAAGCTGCTCCCGCGAACCGATGTCATCCCTCTACTAGTAGTACGGTTCCCATTGTTTGTCTCGGTTCATCCTCTCTCTCTCTCTCTCTCTCTCTCTCTCTCTCTCTCTCTGGATGCGAACGATGGAGGGCAACGGGAATAACCCGTTGGTACTGTTGTTGCTCGTGCGATGGCGTACGGTACGGCAGGGACGTTCCCAATCACAGTTACGACTACGATTGTTGGTGCTTCGTAACTCGTACGTACCTACCGTACTACGTGGCTTGGAATGATAGGRCGTAAGAGGACTACGTASGWACAAGCACAAGTACAAGTACGTACAACCGTATCTGATGGTTTGTTTGTGTTCAATCAATTTCCAAAAGTGTTTCTTGTGCGCTCCGATAGTCTGTCAGACGTACGTACGTAACAATGCCCACAATCCACAATCCAGTTCTGTGTTAGGCTCACAACAGAAACAAATTGCCCTAAAACTTTCCCCTACGGTACTTCCAGTGCTTCGCTGAAACAGTTATCATCTGTGAAAAGAATATCATACYAACAGCAAGCGACAAGACAATCCAATCCAAGAACCTCGCACTCGCTCTGTGGCGTGCACGGAGGGAGCAACTAGCAACCTGCAACCGACGAATGACTATCGTGTATGAACAAGTCGCTGTCGTCCCCTCTGCACAATGGCTAAGAAATCGACAACACCTAACCTCCGGGCAAAGAACGAAAGCGATCGACGACTGTTGGTAGCGGCTACCGAAGGAGACRCGCCCTTCCTAGAATCGATCTGTCGTGCYAGTAACAGCAARCATCCTGGTAATGGCGAGAGCCTCTTGAGGAATGCGGTKTGCGTGAGCGGTTGCCATTTGCTTCACTGGGCAGCTGGTAGCAACCAAGTGGCCGTCCTCGAGTATCTGTTGTCGCCACGCGAAAACACGAACTCGTCGTCGGCAGATGAAAACCAAGAGAAAAGTGAAAGTGAAACGACAACAACCATCGAAAAAGACAACCATTCCATAACCAGCGATGGGTGCTCTGGTCGGAGCACCGTCGGCAGCCCTTCTGCTATATTCCACGACACGCCTTCCCACCGTGCCATCGATCTCCCCGTCACGAGGTGCAAAAAGAGCCTGGGGCGAACACCCCTGCACTACGCCTGTCGGAACGGATGCCTGGAAGCCGTTCGGTGGCTGGTCGACCACGGAGCCAGCGTCGGCGTCCACGCCAAGCAGTCCGTGACGCCCTTCCAGCTAGCGGTCTGGCAAAACCGGTTCGAAATATGTCGGTTTCTGGTGGAAAGGGGGGGACACGATGCTTCGAAAGATTTCAACGATTTCGGATGCGGTGCCGTTCACTGGCTCGGAATCGCTCCGGTGGCCCGTGCCAATSCCGTCGAGGACGAAGACAGCGAGAACGCCAGCGACGATTCGGCCGAAAGCGACGAAGGACGAAACCTGATCCCCCTCGCAAAGTGGCTGTCCACGCTGCCGGGAATCGACTTTGGAGCACGGCAGCGCCAAAACCACACCGCACTGCACAAGGCGTCCTGGGGCGGTCACCTGGCATTGGTGAGATACCTCCACGAAGAGCACGATATGTGGGACGATGTTGCCGATTTCGCGGGAAACTATGCGGCGTCCCTCGCCGACATGGCAAACACTCCGAAACACAATCGAATCGCGAAGTATCTGAGGCATCACTGCAGCCGGAAACGAGCCGAGAGCCTTGCGGTTCTGGGTTTGCTAGATGCAGGGGGGAATAACGGGTCAAAAACCTTTGGAAAGGGAGAAATCCGAAGAGCGTACTTGGCGAAAGCTCGGCAGTTGCATCCCGATCGGCTACTGCGAGCAACAAATAATGATCAAACTATAGCAGACGAGAACAAGGACGACTGTAACGCCAATGTTGGAGTGGTTCGGGGAGAAGTTGATGCAGGGGAAACATCACAAAAAACAAACGATCATCCCGGGGGGGAGAGCATGAATTCTGGAACCAGTATCACCTTTGATGAATTACGAAAGGCATACATTCATTTGATCGAAGAAGACGGCATTGGAGATCAATCCAACCCAGCCCATTCGTTGAATCTTATGCTCCAATACGTGAACAACAGTTATAACAACAACAAAGATAGTAACAATGACACCAAAGTGAATCAGATAGGCAATGACGATGGGGTCGAAGAACAAGAAGAAGACGATTCGTTCTTTAAGGCTCGCTTGGTGGCAGTCTTGTTAGAATACGGAGACAAAGGAATCGATTTGAGCAATGTCAAGAAAAAATGGAAGCAGGTGTGGCCGAAGGTCCCGTTCCCATCACAGCACCAGGAGCGGCAGGAACAGCAACAAGCGAGAAAAATCCCCATGGCCGAATTCCTGATGCAGCGTGCCGGCGACGTGATCCGATTCGAACGCCACGGGGATCGCAATCGCCGCGTGTTGGTATTACTCCGAGACAAGAACTCTTGCAAGGAAACCGTCTTGCAGTCCGGTAGTACTTCTGTTGCCGCAGCCACGGGGGTGGCGGCAACGGAAACAGATACGACAGAGGTCTCAACGAAGCAGTGAAAGAAGTAAAATCAGCACCATAGAATGTACCATTAAACTAGAGATGAAAGTATTGGAGCAGAAGAATCGTCACGACTTCTCATTAGGCGATGAATGGGGGTAGTTTTTGCGAGCAAATGGGCAATCAAAAGGTCTTTCCACCAAATTGTTTGTAGATGCACTGAAGTCAATAGTGAATTTCTGGACGTCAAGAAGTCTACCATTATTGACTGTCTTGTACCTTTTCTGAAAGAGTTTCGTTTCCCAGGACTGCATGGGTGACGATTGAGTCAATCTATGCTGCAKTTCTGTATCTTCGTCTCTAATCTTCCATGGATACAACGGCGCTTGAGCCATTGTAGAGCCAGCTCAATCGTATCCCGTTCTGTTGCCACCAGTTCTGTTCTGAAAAGACTGTTTCGTCGCAACTACTCCCTATTTGTAGAGGTGTATTTGACCAACAGCTCTCGTGCAACGTTCACTATATGTGCAAAACGCTTCGGTCCTAGATGGACGCCCCCATACCATCGCGAGACCACCACCAGCACGTTTTCATCCTTTCTCATGTCCAGCAAGAAGGCCATCTTGCTGCCGGAAGCACTCTCTCCATCGTCGTCATTGTCGTGTTTGATGACCACCCTGGTGCCATCGCCGTCGGAAACGGTTTCGGCTATCCGCCATGCGTACATATTATGGGTTGCTCTTTGTATCTTCGAGCTGCTTGTCAACAATTGGTGCAAGGCTTCTTTTACCTCTTGTTCGGAGTGGACTTCGCATATGTGAGCAACAAAGCAAGATTTTCTGTCGTAAAGGGGTTCTCCGGTGACCCATTCATAGCGTTTTGTGTTCCGTGTTTTGTCACTGTTGTGGTTGCGCTCTATCGTAGATGGTGGCGTTTCTCCGGCAGCAGTAGAATCGTTTCCAAAGCCGTCGTCGACTTCGTCCTGGCAATCGTAATCATTCCAAGTTTCTAGTGCAACAGCGCAGCACGCAATGCAACCTTCCATTTCTTCCTGTTGGCACTCGGCAGATACCCTTCGCACGGACCGAACGACGGCTTCTAGGCGTGCCTTGTCTTTCAAGCTGTCGGTGCGATAATTGGAAATCTGGACACCCGATGCAACAGGGTATCCATGTTCCAGTTTAAGCGTGAGATTGCTGTTGCTGTTGCTTTTTGCATCAACATCGAGCGATGAAAGATGGAGGGTGAACTGGAAAGGAAAAGATGAGGAGTCATCAAAGGAGGACGGCGATGAGATCTCGTCGGGATAGCAGGATTGAATTATTTCCATGTCGGCCCTGGCTCTTTCTAGCGATAATGCGAGTTCATCGTCCCCGTCATTATCTGACATTTTCCCTCTCGTGTATGCCAAACTACTAGAGCTTGACTAACGAAATTCTTGATAAGAAASCTTTTGGAGCACCTATTTAGCGGCAATCAGTATCCAAAGAGACTGGGTGTTCATTGTGAATCAAGGCCTGCCATCGAAATTTCGAGGTCGTGAATCAGTATCGTGGATCCCTGTGTAGGTGGAGTGGGGCAAACGGTTTGATTTGGCACAGCATTTCTTGTTTTTCTGAAAGAAAAGCCCTCCTTGATGATTGATGACTGGAGCAATCTTTTCTTTGGTGTAGAAACCACTTGTTGTCTTTCTAAAATCACATACTAGTAGAAGCCTACTAGTACCATTGCCATCATTATTGCCTGGGGTCTTGCTCGGTGGTCTTCTTGCTCATCCTTTCTCTTTCTTTCTCGTCGCTGATGTTCTGCTGGTGCTCCTCTTTCTCCTCCTGCCGCTTCTTGTTCTTTCTCAATCTTCTTATTGTTTTTCTTCCTCCTCCTGCTGTTGTTCTTGTTGTTCTTTGTCTTGTTATACTTCTTCTTTTAGGGTTGCTGAGTTCTAATACTGCCAAGAAGTGTGCCTTAAGATGTGAAGGAGGTCCTCATGCTGGGGTGATCACAGTTGTTAAAACTACTAGTACTACTAGTACTAGCTACTATTAGTAGTAGTACTAGTAGTACTAGTCATTATAGTACCATGATGGTAACAAGAAGTCATTTTGAGTTTTGGGACAAAGTTCACTCATGCATTGTTGCCAAGAATTCTTGGGACACATCCTACAAAGGATTCCCCATAGGGCTGCTGCTTGGATACCTTGTTGGGAGATGCTATATGGAACAAGATGTGATTGCAATAGTAAACCAAGAAACAACAACATGGTGTGGAATACTGGTCTTGTGATATACTACCTCCGTCCAGATATAATTGTACACTTTGCACCTCTTCAGTTGAAATAAGCTCAATATTTGGGTGATTGGAATGCTTGTTTTTGCACTAAACAGATCTATTGCACTGGTATGCACTTGTGTTAATTGCAATAAGTTTATAGCATTGGTGCACTCTTTATAGCTATTCAAAGAGGCCCTATTTTGGCATATAAATGTGATTTTACCGTCCGTTGGGTTCTACTGGTCCCTTAAGGACCGGACTGGTTTATTTGAAAAGCCTAGACTCTGAGCTTTATTATAGTATACTTATCATACTGATTGACAATGTTTCATGCAGTCTTTAGAGGGTCACTAGACAGAGCAAAAAACTGCTCGGGCCTATTYGGGCCTGTGCAGTTTTTTTTTCATTTTTGAGATGGAGAACCACTACGAAGAGAAAAAAAAGTGCTATGCGCATGGCAAAAAAATGCTCCCCGTGTTATTTTCACGTGTTATGTTTCACTTTTGATTCCACTACACCTCCCGATTTCCTCTTTTCCACGCTCTTCTCATTCTCATTCTCTTCTTTTCCACTCAACTGACTAAGACCGGCTTCTTTGCTATTCAAGCCTTCTCCTTCTTTGCACCTCAAGTGACTCATCGACGTTGAGCCTACGCGCCTCCACTACTACGCGCCTCCACTGAGCACCTCCACTAAGAGGGGATCCGTCGACTGCTTCCACTAACTGACGGGGGGGGGGGAACGCATCTCCGTTGAGCCAACGCGTCTCCGTTGCTTCCACTAATAGGGGGGAGCGCGTCTCCGTTGCTTCCACTAATAGGGGATCCATCGACCGGTCCGTGCCTCCGTTCATTCCACTAAGAGGGGGAACTCGCGTCTCCCTC